CCCGACCGGTTCCGCGCCCTCCCCCGCCCCTGGCGTTCGGACGAGTTTCTGCAACTTTGTGGAACAACTTCGCCTTTTCTCGCCCGCGGGAGGGTTTCCTGGGGCGAGGGGGCGGAGATAAAATCGCAGTAATCCCGGGCTTGCTCACTCCTCCAACCTCGGGGGCCGGCGGGTTTCAGGCAGAAAAGACCCGCGGAGCCTTGCGGGGAGGGAGCTGCGCGCCTCAGCCCTGACCCGCTGCTCCCTCCTGCGGGCGCCGTTCAGCGCCTTCAGCGGCACCGCTCCTCAGTCCTCACTAGCAGCGACCCTGTGAGATCAGCAGCAATACACCGCATTTTCCAGATGAGAAAACTGAGGCCCAGCGGTGATTGTACACTTGCCCGATGTCACACAGCTGGTAAGTGGCAGAGTTGGAGAGTTTAGTACCTTTGGAGGTTGTTGATCTATTTTAGCTCTTTGTAGACTGCAACCCTCCTGAAAGACACTGGGCTAAATTTTATGCGTGGATGACCAATACCGGGGTCACCTGCGGAGAGGCCCAGGGCCCAGCTCCATTGACCTCACCTGTCTGGAGCCGGAGGGCAGAAAGGGGAGGAGAATGGACGCCCCCGCTGACCCTCACTCTTGCCAGTCCCCCCATCTGCTCTTGGTTCTGGACTGTGTGTAGCTGGTTTGGGAGAGCGGCGTGGGAGGTGCCCAGATCCCTACCCCACAGTCCCTGTCAAGCCCCTTGACGGCCAGCAGGTTAGAACTGTGCTGAGAAGCGGGGAATCTTGATTCCACTATCATTCCCAATTAATAAAGAAACTGTTGAACTCCCGAGTTCAGCATCTACAGCTGGAGGACAGCACATTGTACCATAGTCAATGGGTAATATGCTAACTAGGCATTTCAGCGGGTCACAGAAATTCTGTAACTTGATGCAAACACACACATGAAAAGTGTTTTCTTTTACATTAACTGAATGGAAACCATGCACAAGCCTTTCTTCTTGATTAAAAAGTGTTTTAAAAACCTGAGTTTAGAAAAGGAAACATGTCTTAAATTAATAATCTAAGCTCTTGCCTTAAGGGCCAAGAAAAAAACGAATAAAATAAACCCAAAGCAAGCAGAAGAAAGGATGCAAGAAACATAAGAGCAGAAATTAATTAAATTAAAATAGGGAAATAATCAATGAGAAGAAAGGTGCTTCTTTGAAAGAGCAATAAGTTGACAAACCTCTAGGCAGACTGGCAGAGAAAAAAAGGGAAAAACACAACTTGCTAGTGTCAGGCACTAAACAGGCCCTCGGTTCCCTCCCTGGTGCTGCAGAGGGTAGTAAAAAACCAGGAACAGCTCCTCACACAGACATCTGACAGCTTAAATGCAATGGACCAATCCTTGAAAAGCACAAACTACGACAATCCTTTCAATATGGGAGAAACAGCTGGAATGGGAAGTGGAGTTTATGGGTTCGCAAAAAGTAAATCTCCAGGCCCAGGTGGTGTCGCTGAAAAATTCCACCCAGCCATGTAGAAACGAATTAGCACCAATTCTACATAACCTCTTTCAGAAAATAGAATTGCCTCCCAAATCACGTTATAAAGCAAGAATTACCTTCTACCCAAACCAGACAAAGATGGTAGAAAAAAAAGACTACAGACCAATATTTGTCATAAATATAGGCACCTACATTCCTAACAAGACATTAACAAGTAGAACTCAATACATTCAAATAATTATTACCATGACCAAGTTGGGTTTATTCCAGTAATGAAATGCTGTTTTAATATTCAAAAACCAAGCAATATAATCCATCATACTAATAGCCTACAAAAGGAGAACCATATAATCACATCAATTGATGTAAAAAAAAGTATTTAACAAAATTTGTGTCCGTTCATGATAAAATTCTCAGAAAACTAGGACTAGAGTGAACTTTCCTCAACTTGACAAAGAGCATCTGTGAAGATCCTACAACTAGCATCCTGCTTGGTGGTGAAAGACTGGATGCTTCTAAGGTTGGGAACAAGACAAGGCTGCCCGTTTTCACCACTCCTGTTCAACACAGTACTGGAAGTCCCATCTAGCACAATAAAGAAAAGGAAGGAAATAAAAGGAATACCCCTCAGAAAGGAAGAAAAAAACTGCTCCAATTTGCAGATAGCATGATGGTCCTCATAAAAATCCTACAGAATTTTCTAAAAAAGAAAAACCAAAAAACAAATAAATGCTCCTAGAACTAATAAGCAAGGTTGCAGGACATATTATCAACATACAAAAAGCAATTGTATTTCTATATACTTATAATCACTAAAAAAGTTCTTAGGTGTAAATCTAACAAATACGCACAGGACTTGTGTGCTGAAAACTATAAAGTGCTCAAGAGACAAATCAAAGGTCTCAATAAATGGAGAGACGTACTGTGTTCATGGGTTAGAAGGCTCAAAATAATAAAGCAGTCGTTCTCCAAAATTTTTATGTGTGTGTGTGTGTGTGTGTGTGTGTGTGTGTTT